TTTTAGGGTATTATTTGAGAGTGATAAAATATTTAAAAGTTGCAACTAAAAAAAATCGGAGGTAGATATTAATTTGACTTAAATCTATGCATTCACATTTAGTCCATTTACAAGTATATAGTGTATTAAAATGAAAGTATCTATTTAAAGACATGTTTAATTAGTATCACCCTCAACTATTTTCGGTTTTTTGGGTTACATATATGATTTTGAAAGTCATAAATAATAGAATCATAAACTAAAAATTAGCTATACACGTACTAATCATGTTGATTTAATAAACTAACAACCGTAAACAAAAAATGATACTCGTAACCAACATCCCCTAATATATCAACTTTCATTTCAATTGAGAAAAGGATGTAAAGAGTAAATAATAATGGATTGAATTTTAATATTTCTTTAGATACTCGGGGAGACATGACCTCAACGAAAATAAAAAAGAACTAAACAAGAAAACTAAAAAGAAACATAAGAAAACTAAATACAAACTATTTGTGACATTGTCATTCCCATGAATGTCTGAAATATTTTATAGCATACCTGTGTGTACCGTGCACCCAACTAACCCTAAATTAGTTTTTGCTCTTTATTTTATGATTAGGTCGTGTTTGATGAATAACTTAAAGCTGAAGCTGATTATATTAGCTTATTTGACTAGCTAATTGTATTAACTGATTTGACTAACTTATTTTATTAACTAATTATATAAAAGTGTTTGGTAAATAGCTGATAGCTTAAAGTTGATTGAGTATGAAAAATGACTAATAAGCTAATTGTGGAGTAGGTAGTATAGGTATGATTTTAAATTAAATGGGGGTATAAGTGTCATTTCACCATAAATTAATGAATAAATTAATTGAAAAAGCTTCTAAAAGGAGCTTTTTCAAAAAAAGCTTATTTAATGGAATAAACTCTTCAAATAAGCTTCCCACCAAATACCTTGAATTAGCTTATTTAATAGTCAATAAGCTAATATTGGTCAAATAAGTCAATTTTGCTCAAATAAGTTGTTTACCAAACACTGTCTAAATGTAAAATAATCATCAAAATGAGAAAAAAATGCCAATGGATATACCATGCACCCGGAATATGTAACAATCTCTTGACAAAAGGATTTGGCACAAGTCCAAGGGTGGAATTTGAATAAGCTCTTCTTTGATAGATTGGGCTACTTCTTTATTTGCTAGTAGTCCAATGTTCTATTGCCCTCTCCATAAGAATGGGTAGCTTTTACATACCACTCCCGATGTTTAATTAATAATTCCAACAATTTAACTTAATGTTGTACACACCAAAGATTAACTTAATGTTTGTATGAAAGATAGAAGTAATAGACTATAGAGTACGGACTTAGCACTTAGAACCCAAAAATAAGAGCAATCAATCAACAAAAAATATATACACATGTCGTATCTATAGACATACATGGAAAAGTATAAACTTCCACGAGATTATTTATAAGTTAGTCGAACATGGGCCGCACTTACGTTGAATCTCCGCAAGACATGCTCATCAGCTCATGTTTAGTGTCTTGTGATCTATCATGTGCAACCCCCCATTTTGGTTTTAGTACATGATATTGGAATATAAAAATAACTATTCATGTCCTAATATTGCCAAATGATAGTATGAATGAAATCAAGCCATTATAGAATCAGGGTCAATAGTATTATATTTTTTGTGGATTTTTGAATACATTATTCTATTAAATCAAACATATTATATATGGTTAAATATATAGCATATTCTATACGAGTATAAGCTAATACCAAGTGTCGCATTACATACGTATATAATATAATACCAAATGATTGTATCATTTTTCTTATTGTATTAAGAATTGGGAGAATAGTAAATTTATAAGGTAGGAGCAAAATAATTATTACACAGGCAAACGTAAAAGACCGTTATAACCTTTTTTAAAGTCCGTATTATCCAACAACATATAGAGTGTTGGGATACTTTGCTCATGGGAGAAAAAATTAGTAGGATCAACCCTAGTTTTAACCATCACCAACTTGGGAAAATTACCTTTGAAGTATTTCTCCCAAGAAGATCCAATATCCAAATCCACATAATTAAGGACAGCTTCTCTTGGAGAATCAGACGCAAACTGTCCCATAAATTCATACAACTCCTTAGCCTTATTCAAGTAAAATTCATCCATGCCATCCTCAACCCATAACAAGTCATAGAAGATCATAAACGAGTTCCCCTTTCGATGAGCAAAAGGGACTGCAGATTCGTCGATTTCATCCATCCTTCCTCCAAAAGGAGTCCACTCCATATACACAACGCCCGTTTGCATGATCTTTTCCCAAATTTTGGGTAGAGCTGCTTCAGGGATTGGCGTCTTGATGAAGTCCCCCTTGATCTTACGATATAATGGATGTTTTATGTCGTAGTTTAGTAAGATTTCGCGAGGGGTGCCTTGAGGAATGTGATGCCAAAACATGGCGGAATCAATCCATGTCATCTCCTTGCAATCCTCTCGAGTTATTCCTAGCTCAGGGAAGCTTTTGTCCATGATCTCAAGGAGGCTCTCTCTATCTCCAAGAAACATTGAGATGAAGGACGCTTTTATTGAAAGGTTACCCGATGTAGTTGGACACACGCTTGATTCTGCCCTTACCAGAAGATCTTTGGGGAGCTTGTGAGCTATGTTTTGCCATTTGTATAAGATGTGATTTACTCCTGTTAAGATATAATAAAATTTGTCAAATAAATGTATAGTACAAGTATATATTTCAAGTATATAAAATCAATGAGAGACTTACTAAAATAATGCAAATACGAAATTTACATTGTGATTATAAGAGAAAGTACGTACTAATTCAACAACTTCTAGCATAAGGTACCTAGGAGTGATAACAATAACCTTGTAGTATCAAACATGTACGAATTCCCTATATTATAGCACGTACCTGGAGTATTGACATCTTTGTCGACATTGAAGACAGTAACGGTAGGAGGCACACGAACAAGACGAAGCTTCCAAGCCAAGATGACCCCGAAACTAGAGCCTCCACCACCGCGAATGGCCCAAAAGAAGTCCTCGCCCATTGCTTCCCTATCGAGAATCTTCCCATTGGCATCCACAACACGAGCATCGACAATGTTGTCGACAGACAAGCCATACTTTCTCATTAAGGCTCCATATCCTCCCCCACTAAAGTGTCCCCCTGCACCGACGGTGGGGCACACTCCTGCAGGAAAGGCATGGACAGGGCTCTTCTCCGCAATACGATAGTAAATCTGGCCTAAAGTGGCCCCCGATTGCACCCATGCCGTCTCATCATTGATGTCGATCTCAACATTGTTGAGGTTGACCAAATCTAGTAAGATGAAAGGAAAGGGGGCCGTGTAAGAGATCCCCTCGAAGTCATGGCCCCCGCTCCTAGTCTTGATCTTAAGACCATTGGCTCGAGCGCAAGTGACCACAGCAGGCACATTGAGCTCGCTCTTAGGAGCTACAATGAGCAAGGGCTTGCGAGTGGTGGACTGTTGATATCGAAGGTTGTAAATACGGTTGTCGAGGAGTTCCTGGAAGGAGGAGTTAGTTGGTTTGTATATAACATCGGAGATAGGGTAACTTAAAGGACGGGATTGCTTCCCTAGGCATTGGATAAAGGCATCGATGATTGTATCATCAACAACAACAATATTATTGGCTGATGATGAAGATGATGGTATGAGAACAAGTATAGAAATGACGATGAGTGACACCAAATAACAGTTTGCCATAACTATATGAGTTAGTTAATAATTGTTTTTCAGTTGCGGAACATACATGTATGTTACATTTAAATAAAAAGATACGAGTAGTAGTTGTACCAAAATAATTTAATAAATGATTAATAGCTCCCATCTACTACTACTTCCTCTTGTCCATGTGCTGCACGGGGGTTAGTCGCCAAGAGATTATTGTATGATTTTTCTATATTCACATTATAATTAACAAATTCATTTCTTTTGACTTTGGCATTAATTTGCAATTGATTGCTGGTTGTTGATTGTCGGCTGGTTAGATTGGCTGGTTTGACCGCTTGTTTGACTTTTTATTAGTCTAGAAACATATTTGGTAAAATTGGTTGTTGGATGTTATTAGTAACTTAGGTAACCAAAAGCCAAAAGCTACTCCAAGTAGCTTTTTCATTTTGGCTTTTTTGGCAAATGGCTGTTGGCTGGTTTGACTGGCTGTTTGTACTGACTTTTTTGTTGACTGTTTGACTTTTTATTAATCTAAAAACATGTTTGGTAAAATTGGCTCTTGGATATTATTAGTAACTTGGGTAGCCAAAAGCCAAAAGCTACTCCAAATAGCTTTTTCGTTTTAGCTTAAAAGCTAGCTTTTCAAGCTTTTAGCTGGCTGATAAAGTCATTTACCAAATATAAATTTTGGATGTTTGAACAAATGAAAAAGCCAAAAGCCAATAAAAAAAGCCTATGAAAAGTCATTTACCAAACAAGCCATTTAACTTCTTAATTAACTTAATCATGTTAGTTTTTGTTTACTCCCACAAGTTACTTCGTTTACTTTACTTTGCTGATCCCTCATTATATGATGATACATGTGGGGATACAGCAACATTAACCACTTCTCTGATCTATAGAATAATAGATTGTTCAATTGCTAAACTATGCACATATATATATGGATGCATGTTTCTTAGCTTCAACTATTAAGATATCAATTTTGATTACAACAATATGTAGCTATAAATCTTATAACGTGTAACCTGCAAAATGATTCATCTACTTCATATTCTTGCCTTTTGGGTGTACGGTCAATTAACCTATTATATTAAACTAAAACTTTAATTGATATGGTCAATTTTAGCAATAAAGACTTTCATTCTATTATGTTTAAAAAGATTTTATCGATTTAATTTTTTTAGTGTTAGCTCCAACTTGTAAAATCTTTTTGAATGAGACCGGCCAGATCTGGCCATTATAAATGCCACCAGTCACCACCTTTTTATATTTTTCCCTTCATATTTCTAGATTCTTTAGGAAGGACCAAAGAAAAAGAGAAAAAAAGCAAACGAAAATAGTAAAGTGGGAGGCATTTTTGGTACACTAGTTTAATACAAAATCTAAATAGAAATAGGGCCTACTTATCTTAAGTGAAAGGCTAGCAGAAGTTTAGAGCTCCAATCACCAATCTTTCCCTTTCTCTCCCCCACTCCAATACACAAATGTAAAGCTAATACAACAATGTTCAGTTTCTATTCTCCAAGATTTCTTCCTCATGTATTGCCTCCCCAACATCTACAACATAGGAATCTTACTTCTACTAATACTACCATTTCCTCTTCTTTGTCATCTCCTCATCACCAACATAACACTACTATCCCAACCCCATACCGCGATGCTCAAACCACTCGCCGCTCCATTCTCCTCCTCTCCACCGCCCTCTCTCTTCCTACACCACCCTCCTCGGCTGCCAATGCTCCTCCACTAGACACCACCATCACGGACCGGGTCTTCTTAGACTTTAGTGTTTGTCCTAACTACTTTCGAAACCCAACTCAAGGCCAGGCCCAAGATGAACCTCTATGCGCCGATTCTGAGCTCATGGGCCGTGTTGTATTGGGCCTCTATGGGAAGATTGTTCCCATCACCGTCTCCAATTTCAAGGCCATGTGCGTTGGGCCTATGGGGTACAAGAATACATTGGTTCATAAGATCCTCCCTGGCCAATTCTTAGTGGCAGGCCGGCAAGGGAGGAAAGATAAAGGCGAGGTGGTTCCACCTTCTTCTGGCCTAGTCCGGAACACAGAGACGGTTGACTCTCGGGCTTTTATGTTGGAGCATTCGAGGCCTGGTGTTCTTTCCTTGTGCTTGTCCGAAAACGATGATGAAGATGATATTAAGCTAGACCCAAATTATCACAATGTGGAATTCTTGATTACCACTGGACCCGGCCCGTGTCCGGAGCTTGATGGTAGGAACATCGTCTTTGGGAGTGTCCTTGAAGGTATGTTTTACTTTAACCGATTTTTGTTTTGCTTACTTAAAGCTAGCTAATAAACGGAAATGTACAAGTATCATACTACGGGTAGTAGTTTCTAGGAAGCATAAAGCATTAAAGCCTAACATGTTGTTTTCATATATATGATTCTTACGCAACATTAGCAATTAAAATAGACGACCATATACACTATCAGCTATATAACGCGCATAGGAAAGTAAAAATGAACAAAGGAAGTATATAGTAGGAGATGATCAAGAGATATATAGCATAAAAATAATCCTGTTACCTCCCCGCTCAACACGAGTGCTCGATCTTCCCAGGGCATTTCCCATTCTTAGCCTTTCAATTCTCTCCTAGATGGACATTATTATACATGGTTTAAAAAGAAAAGAACTTGTAAGGAAAAAAAAAAAAAAAAAGTATGTATTTGTTAAAAAAAGAATGGATGTAGTTTGATGGTGGAAAATTGGAAGCAGGGATGGATATAGTGAGAGCAATATCATCTGCACCAACATACAAACCAGCTGAAAGGATAAGGCAATTGAATGACTTGGCAGGATTTCTTGGAGACGAAAGAGCCCAAATTGCTCGAACTTTTTGGAATCGTCCTCTTAAGTCTATTTATATCAGTGATTGTGGTGAACTCAAAGTTACTAAACCTTCACTCACTCCATCCCTCCCATAATCTCACTTCCCTTTACTTGAGTTGAGCATATACTTAAATTTTTACTATATTGGACTGTAATGTTGGTGAGAGGAAGGCATAGTTTACACAAAGATGTGAATACATTGAGCTACCTATATATGGTTTGTTTGCCATTCATTACAGTGTAAATGAACTTTTAAATAATTAAGTGGTATTTAAAATTTCAGTCATGAAAATATTAGAGATCAAATGTTGCCTGTCTTCTTGATTAAATTAAAGATTCACTCTTTTGCAGTACTATTGACCTTATTCTTATATACCGTGATCAGTCTGAAGTATGCAAGTATCAGATAGACTATGGTGTGTACTCTATATGACTTTGTCTTATGTAATTGATAAGGAAAGGTTGCATACATCTAGTTTACCCTGTTCCCGTTCAGGGCTGGACCTTGTTTAAAGGTATCAGGGTAACATTGGTGCCGGTATTGGTGAAAGTACTGGAAATTAATTACCTGATTAGTAGGAAAACGGTATGATGATGATGTCAACGCGATACAAATATCTAATGTACAGTTTTGGATATCTTTGCTTATTGCTTACCAGTCCAAGTCGTTGAGCAGAAGCTAAAAGTCTACCCACTCTTGCTTATTTCATTTGTCCATTGCTTTGGATTAATGATTACATACTAGTCAACATTTTGCAAATTTGACTAAACCTAATCAATACCAGAGAGGGGAACAACAATGCAAGGGCAGTTATGGGAGTTAATTCTTATGGGTATTATCATATGTCATTGCCTTCAATCATTTCTTAGTTTAAAAGCATGCTGCAAGAAAACAATGATTTCGTATGTAATAGGCATGAAATTCAAACATTGATAGAAGTGAAAGTCTTCCAAGCAACATAATATAGGCAAATTCCTGAATCCCCAAATCAAATTAATTAATTTTGAGCATATACATCATTCACAGAAGTCAACAAAACATCAATTAAGTAGATGATCTAGGCTTGTCATGAAGAACAACCGGGGGAGCAAACCTAGACGAGAAACCAAGGTTACCATCTTTATCATCGTCGTAATTGCCATTATCGAAATTAAGAGTATAATCGAAAGAGTTGTATTGAAAATCATTCCTCTTCTTATTATTAAAGTAGCCACCAATTTTCCTAAGGAAATTCTTCCACTTGGGTCCAGCAACCAACTCTGACACCTCTCTTAACTTCTTTACCTGTCTCATCACCCATGACTCCCTCTCTTCCCGCCTTTCGGGCAGAAGATTCAGTCGATCACCGCTGTTTGTTGTATGATTATGGCTCGTAAACACCCCAAAACTTCGAAAGCAACCACATCCTTGTTCCTCTGACTCGAGCTCGCCAGCCTGCATCAAGAAAGCATTTTCTTGAGGTGTAGCCATCAAAGGAGGGAAGAAAATAAGAGAGAATATTGAGGTAGGATGAATGGAGAAGTTAAGTTTTTATATAAAAATTAGCGGAGAAGGAAAGAAAGAAGGGAGAGGAAGCATCAAAGAAAATGGCAACTTCAAGTCTAAAATGGCAAACGCGGGAGGGTTTTCATTTTGTCAAAGGGATGCTGACTTTGACTTGTGGTTTACGTGCTACAATTAAATTTTATAACTCTACAACTTGGTGAGTAATTTTGAAAGCAAAATTGGACATAATTTCTCCGAAAATGATAATTATTTTCCTGGTGCTGTCTGGGTGTTTTTATCCCTCAGGGCTGCTATTGTATGCACACGGCTTTACACGAGGATAACCAGGTATAACCTGGCTTAATACACAATCACTCTTTTTCTTTCTTGCATTATGAGCCTAACACTTGATCACATATCCCTTTTCACGTTGCCAAAAAAAAATGGAGACAGATACCTTAAACCCCCCAAAAACGAGGCTATGTGTGCTATCCACAAATAAAAAAATAAATAAATAATTTAAAAAAAAAAAAAAAAATCGGAAGGGGGGATAAATAAAAAATATTAAAAAAAAAAATTAAAAAAAGAACATGTAGTAAATCAATGCCTATTCAACAATTCTATTTTCTTCTCCTTTTTCTTTTTTTTTTTCTTTTTTTCTTTTTTTTTTTGGTGGGGTGGGGTGGGGTGATCCATATGGACCATATCCATAAGACTATAATGCCATGTTTCCGGAGACCAATATACATAATCCAACCATGCATCAGCTAAATGACAACCAAAAAGATAAAAACCAACTAGGTGTTTGTTCTTGTAGTTGTAACTGGCGTTTGCCCCTTTGCTGGAATCTTGGCAGCCATACAGCGCAACTCATTAGCAATTTCAGTGAAGTTCGGCCTCTGTGATGGGTCTGCAGCCCAGCATCTCTCCATCAGTGATCTCCAATCTGGGTCACAATTCACTGGGACTGGTGGCCTCAAGGTGTTGCTCACAATTCCTCCTAATTTCATGTTACAAAACAAAATGGAATCAGATATACCTACATTATTCAAACTCAAAACCCTTTCCAGATATAACTTTTCACAAGTGAAAATAATCTATGGCCTACCGAATTTTATTTTTTCTCTAGCAAACTTAAATTTGATGTCACAAATAGTCCCCTTCACGAGAGTCCTCTAACTATAATAATACACAAGAAAATTTTGAAACACTACGGAAGGCCAACCGAAATGGCTTGGACCTCATTACTTCTACTATCATCTACCATAAGCAAATGAGTAATTAAGTCACTCAATATCATTTTTTTGTCATGTTTCTCCTGCAAGTTATTGTCATCCTGACAGAAAGAGTTACCAATAACTCACAGAGAAAAAAAATCTACGAAACCATGCAACATAACTCACAGAGAAAAGATTTTTAAGAATTACCAATAATAGCCCCATAGTGCAGGTCAGCATATGGCTCTTCTCCAGTAAGAAGCTCCCACAAAACAATACCAAAAGAGAACACGTCAACCTAGACATGACAAATCTTAAAAATTAGCACTAGATTACTGCTGCCAGAAATTAATTAAAATCATTTGGTTATAGAAAATGACAACCTTCTCAGAGACCAGACTGCTGCTGCCACTCAGCAGCTCAGGTGCCATCCAAGGAAGGGTACCTCGTACTCCCCCTGATATTAATGTTTGACATTTCACTTTGGATAGACCTAAATCCCCGACCTGCAATCAAAGAGGGAGTCATATATTACTTCATAGTGCTAAATCAAAATCTCATTCTAGTTCAGCATACAGCAGCATGAGATACACCAAATTTTCCGTACTGTCCAGTAAAACCTTTCGTCCTCCAGTAGAAAAAAAAAAAAAAAAAAAAAAAAAAAAAAAACAATTAAACAAGACATGCCAACGAGGCAATGTTATGGTACAGCTATAGCTCTTAAGTCCTTAGATAACTGAATGGAACACAACCCAAGAGATGTTTTGTTTTTCAGCGTAAACTGTTCCCTGTAGCAACTTTACTTATTACCTACAGAGATTGTTAGCAGAGTAAGTCACAATGATGGAGCGCTCAGTGGCGCCACCAACCCAGCCAAAAAAAAAAAAAAAACAAATAAAACCTGCACCACGTCCAAGATCCCCACACTCTACTCTTCCCCACCCCTTCCCCCTAAACACACACACACACAGAATAGAAAGTCATATTAGTTAACATATTCCATATATTTTTTCTATTTGACATACGATGTCAAGTCAGCTATAACCAATTCAAAAGAAGAAACCTATCACTGAGAACCATGCATGACAAATTTGGTATAGTAAACCAATCATTTGTTGGAAAAGGATGTTTCAATAGTAAACCACACACCACCAAAAAAAAAAATTTATTTAGACCTTAACTTATGAAGCGGGGCGGGGGGTCATGATGAGGAATATAGCTTTCAGTGCTCCAAGCCACGGATAGTACACTGAACTGTGAAGCTATGGCAGATCACAAAGGCACCGCTAAGCAAATCTAGAAATAGAAACAAGAATGTTGATACAGTTTTTGTGTGTGATACTACTAATTAAGATTAGCTCTTTCCTAATAGTTTTACAAGGAACTCCAGACTTGCAATGTCATTAGAATAATAGAAGATGTCACATCACTAATAAGGAAAGCATAAAAGACTATAAAATCACAATTGTGAAGCAGCATCAACAAATCTTTCTTACTCTTATGCATAAACTCAATTTTCAACCAAAGAGTAACCTTGCATTATTTCAAGAAGTCAGGTTCGGACTTGAAATATAGAATCTCAGATGCCAAAGTCAACTGTTTACGAATAACTTACAAAAATCATTAGGTACAAGTGACCTCTGCATGCAGTCTTGATAGCGTAAAATATTAGGGCTCAATGGCTCATGCTCTAATCATTATTTCTCAATCTAATTGCACATTATATGTTTGACACCGACCTTTGAAATGCAACTGTGTTACGATAAATTGATAACAAGCATATTTAATAGGCCATGTTTGACACGGAGCTCATAATACTTTCCGCTTGTCAAGTTCCATAGCACAAAGTAACAAGTTACAACAGACAAACAAGCTATAAAAAGCATAGAATTTTTATTTACTTTTTTTTTTTTTTTTTTAAAAAAAAAGTATATGCTCTTTCACTCACACACACACACACACACACACATTCCCCCCAAAGGCCCAAACCTGTATTACGAGATGAAGGAAAGAAAAGAGGAAAAGAGTTCTATATAAGGGTGGAAATATTAGAATCCATATAGCAAACATGAATATATTCTTAGTTTCTTACTTTTGAGCTTTGTCACTTGACATTTTCCCAAATTCCCAAGCTCCAACACCAGGAAAGAAGAATAGATTGACATAAACAAAGACCCATAATTACTTTTACAACCTTGATCATAGATTTATAGTACAATCAACAAGAATATGCTAATCTAGAACAAATTTCTCATCGTGAACTCAGCGATAAGTAACTGACCTTGCATATGGGTCTATGTGGATCTCGAAGATTGACAAGCAAGTTGTCACTCTTAAGGTCAAAGTGCACTATATTTTTTGAGTGTAGATATTCCATTCCAAATGCTACATCCATAGCAATCAAATGCCGCTTCCTCTTGTCAAGGTTCCTGAAATGAATATAGTGTCAATATGTTGATCGGAGGATTGCGTGTGAGGAAGAAGCACAAGATGCCCAACAATATTACTAGTAGCAAATAACACAGGCTTAGAGTAGTAATGTCAGTACACTTACTTTTCATTCTTCTGCAAAGCAGTTCTAAGAGAACCATTAACCATGAACTCAGTAACTGTAGCCACAGATTCACCAGGACCATCAAGCACAACACCATAGAAAGCTACCACATTTGGATGGTGCAAGTCAGCTAGTTTAATGGCTTCATTCCAAAAGTCATCTCTCTGGAAAAAAAAAAGGTATTAAACTAAGCAAATGGAACAATACAAGAACATAATAACACATGACAAGAGTGATGAATCGCCTATTACCATGCGTTCTTGTTCGGGAGGCTTTCCAGCAAAACACCTGTCATTGATTCGTTTAATAGCAACATCAGTTCCTCTCCATTTTCCGTGATAAACAGTGCCAAAGGTGCCAGAACCAAGTTCCCGCAACTCTTCAAGATCGCCATTCTTAATAATCTGTGACATATCAGTAGCAAGATAAGTTTTCTAGTGGAATATTAACACCGCAAACAATGATATACTACTAAATGATTCACCTGTAAACGACCAAGGCCATCTGAGAGTGGAAACCCAAAGTTAGCCTTATCGGATTTAATATTCATGGCCTGTTGTAAAAGGAAGGAACACATACACATAGGACAAATGTTAACAGGGAAGAAAAGGTAATGATAATATTTGTACCCTTATCCTTTCTGTAACAAAATTCTACATATAAATCACCTCCATCTTAGTCTGTAGAGCAGCATCACTATTAGTCTGACCTTCAATCATATGGCTCACTTCAGAAAAACTTGTTTCTTGTGATGAAAAGTCAACATTTGATGGCACAGAAGAGTGGAGAACTGAAGCCGCAACCCCCTCAGCCGTTGCTTGTAGCTGTTGTTTGATCCGCTCTTCAGCTGAGCCTTCAATAAACACTTAAGGGTCAACAAATGAATAATATAGACACAAAATTGGCTTAGATAAGTAGGCTAAATATCTAACCTTTGCCTGATTGAACTTGTTCAGTTGTCGATTGAACATCAACAAAATTTGCATCTGCACTTAATTCTCCATTTTGACGATTATCAGCAGTAGATGTCTCTCTTTTTGTAGCACTTTTACTAGGTTTAGGAGGGGGGAACTGAGTCTCATGCCGCATATTCCAAGGGTCTTGGTTACTAAACAATGAGTTCACAGAATCATTCCCAACGGCACCCCAGTTATGGGGGGATGTTGAAGACTGCATATTACTGTTTGAAGCAACAGTCTCAGGATATCTTGTAGCATCAGGTCTCAGATCACTACTGGGTGATATTTCATTACACTGATATTGAACTTCAGCAACGGAAGATGGCAAAATTTCACTTTGGTTCATCTGGCTTGCCTCCTGAAGTAGTGCAGGTCTAATGAAGGAAGAACTTGCCAATGGCTCTATCCCTAATGTGTGAGAAGGCACCTGCTCCGAAAATTCATCTTCCCGAAGTTGATCAATATGGGACTTGCCCTGTTCATTACTAGGAAGAATATCAGCAGGTTTCCCTTGGAGATTCTCTTTTCTGAGATCCATTGGTCTAATTTGATCATTTGAGATAGCAGGCCTTATGGCATCATCCCTAAATGCCAAGCTCGTAACTTTTCCAGAATAGTCTACTGTCGTTTCAGGAACAAAATGTTCAGGAGCATGGTAAGCAACACCAGTGGGAGCAGTATTGTCACCATTGACAGGTTGACTCACTAAATGCTGCTGGATACCATCTTCAGGACATGACATGGGGGCGCTGAAAGGAGTCTGCGCATCACTTACTAACCCCATCAATCCCTGATTCTGTGCAGCTGCATGCAATCTATTAAGATCATCCAGACGAAGGCTTTGATAAATCAGGTTTGTATCAGAAACATTGATTGTGTGACTATTGTTCTGGTCATGTACAACAGTGTCAGAATGTGCATGAGGCAGTGCCTTTTGGCACATATAGCAATCTGCTGTTGTAGGGACTACCTGTTGATGCGTCACCCATCCCTTTGAGAAGGTTGCATGGTCTTGTGGAGGGACTTGGGGCCACCCGTAACCTCCACCAACCGGGGCTTGATATGCATTATTATAGTTAGGTTCGGCAACAACTCTCTGTGAAGGCTGTACAATTGGCTGACGAATATTGGGATTCATGCTCATATGAGAATTAGTGGGAGCCATTGTCATCTGTACTGCACCAGGTACAAACTGTTGGTTCAATAAATGTGGGGAATCACGATATTGTGGATGAATGAGTATGGGTCTCGGAGTACCCATAACTTGGGGATTTGCATAAACCACATGTGAAGCACCACGGCTCAATGCATCTTGGCAAGGATCTATATACCCACCTAAATAGGGGGGAGTGTGAGGTTGAAAATTCATGCCTGGTTGCTGAAAATCATATCCCAGGGGCTGTTGTTGCCCATGTGCAGGTACAGGAACTACTCTCTCCACCTCAATCTCTGGCTGTGAAATTGCTGAGTGAGGAACTATCAAGGAAGGGGCAGAAACATCCAATCTAGGTGTATTATCATAAGAACCAGCAGAATCACTTCGAGGAGAGAATATGCTGGCAGATGGCGGTCCACTGACATCGTGACCAATTGCTGTCTCAAAGACCTCTGACCCACTAACATCAGAATTCTGAGTTGAAGCTACACTTGCAATGCTTTCCTTCCTTGTGATACCACCAACAATACCTTCTGCGACTCCATTGACGGCATCCACATATCTCTGCCCAGTATCTTGCAACCCCTGCAGGTGCACCACACCAGAAGGATCCAGCTCCGAAGCAGAGAACAAAAACACCCTTAGCTTGGCAGACCCATCAGGAGACCTCTCTTGCAACTTCTCAAACTCCTCCATCATATTATCAAGATCATCAGAGCAAGAAACCGAAACTAAGGCATCAAGATCTTCATCAGGGAGCTGATACTTGATCACCACAGGTTGCTCACATGTATCCGCCATCTTCTGAACCAACTCCCCAAAAGTTACATCCCTCCTAACACTAATAATCCTAGTTTGGCCACCAACATATCTAAGCATTCCATCACTAGGACGAGGGAGTATCTTCCCCCCAAAACTACACAAGAATTTAACTTTCTTCCCTGATACAGAATCATCCCCTCCATCCACATTCACTTGATCAAGACCCTTATGGGTTACATTTCCACTCCCACTCCCACTCCTACCCCCACCAACTCGGGCCCCCAAATTTGGGTTGTAGGCATACCCTGACGAGCTAATGCTAGCACTACTACTAGGAGGTGGCGGGCCCATGGGAGACTGCATTCGCGGGGCCCACCAGGTAGCGGGGCCCAGATTCGGCCAACCTGAATTTACAAACCCCATGCCTGGGATCCCAGCACCAGAACTATCAGTGAAGAATACCGGCATTGAAGGAGGACTAGCTACGTCGACTCCGGTCATGTTTGGGTAAAATCCATCAGGGGGCCTACCTGAGGTGGTGACAGGTGATGGGGCAATGCGGGTTTCATCGGCAACACTACGAACTACATTTAAGGGTCTTAGATCTGCTGACATCGAGTTCTGATCAAATTCCATCTTTATTACACTAGATTTACACAAATCACCAGAATTTTCCCCAAATTAACCTACATGAGAAAATTTATGGCGAATTTTATTAATTAAATTAAATGCTAAAATTTTGAACTTTATCAAATTAATTAAAATAATAGTTCAGAGGGTATGTAAATCAACAATTGCCAGCTGAATTAAACCAAAAACTAACATCCAAAAGGGTATATCTAATATTAATAATACTAGTAAGCAAGAAAATCCAAAAAGAAAAAGAAAAAAAAACACAGAAATTAATAAAGAAAGGCGTAGGAGAATACCCAATTTGATGAGACAAAGGATGAGATATCAAATTAACATCAACCGGCACCGCTTTGATTCTTGAATCCTTTCTGTCTCTTCTTGTTGTTCTTCCTCTTCCTCTTCTACTTCTATTTTCTGGGTTCTAAGATTTCAGTTCTTTGGGTAATTCTTAATTCTAAATTAATGTAAAAAAATACCCTTTATTTAAAAATTAAAAATATGTCGAGAAAGAGGAAAGAAATTGGAAAAAGAAAATAAATTCGAATTTGTAGGAAAGTTGAGTATGAGAAGAGGGTGTCGAACTCGAAGGTAGTTAGGTTTTAAGGTAGGCAGAAAAAATAGAGAGAAGAACGAGGAGTGTTATTGGAAAATGAAGGCACGTGGATGGCTTAATGTACTTGTCTAATTGGTAATTACTCTTTATATCATCTCTTTTAACTTCTTTTGGACTCTCTTTGTGGACCCAACTTTCTTAGTATTCAGCCCTATGACTTTTACTACTTTTGTCAATTCTAATTTCATTTCATTTTGCTATGTTTATCATCTACTACTATTGCTTTCATGCTCAAAACACCCACCATCATTTCTGCTCTTCAACTAGATTCCATTACTTTTTATCTCCTTGATCATATAATTATGTGTTGTATACTTCATATAATATACATACACCCTCCGTTACATATTACTCGTAACAAAAGAAAAATTTATGTCTCATAAATAATACTCTTTTGTTGCGAGTAATATGTAACGGAGAGAGTATTATATATATTAGTCGTTCCATAAATATTACAGAGTATTTCATATACATATAATGTTTATCTTTTATTCCGTATAAATATTTCACAAAGATTGAATTATATGGGAATATATATAGGTAAATGTAAATTACAAACTTATAGTACTGTATATTATCGGATACATTCATTTTCTATTAAAGGTGTGCTCTATTGATATGAACTTATTTCACCAAAATCGATTTGACTTAATTTTTTTGTCATGTTTACACCTTATTGGGTCATATATATGAATCCTATTTAGGAGCGATTAACCATTTTTAAAGTTTATTAAGCATACAATGCTAGTTAATTCATACAAATCTACATCAATTTAAATTGAATTCTTGTCGTAAATAAATTTAAAAAAAAAAACATTTGATGAGTTTAATATTCTTTCTATTTCCCCTAACTTTGTGCATGTTTTACTTTGATTCGTTATAACTCTTACTCCAATTTAATCTACAATTACTTACCAAAAAATAATAGTAGTGACTAGTTGATCTAATATGGCGCGCTGGGCCAAATCTTTGTCATCGTATCTATTTACGAAGCAACTCAAGCTAGGCTCATTTTCTGGGGTCGAGTCAACTTTAACGTATCTAGCATACCTTTTTACTAATTGAGTTATATTGGAGTAGTAACTAGTAAGCACATGTGAAAGGTCCAACTTTCACATTGACCAATTGACCTTGGAGTCTTGGACTCACCTTGGTTCTTATTACAAGTAGTTAATACGGGAGTAACAATTTACTTTGTTTTTTTTCATCTTTGATGAAATTGAATTTTTACTACCTAAATATAATTGCACAAACTCTTGCCACACCAAGAGGAAGAAATTAAAATAACGTGTAGCTAATTCATAGACAATAATAAAAGAAATGACCCACAAGCATAATAATTATGCAAATATGGGTACGTACATGTATTAATTAAGATGTGCGGATAAATATATTGAGGTTTCTTTTTGAACTTTCCAACTGAAAACTCATAATAGTGACTGATCGATAGCAACACTATGTTTTTTTTCACCAAACCAAATAAAAACAAAACCTAAAATATCTTCCATTTTCTCTTCTTGAACCTGCAAATTTAGAATAGTAAGTACTGTTTATATATTTACTTAAAACATAAGAACATAATTAGATGGGACCTTTAATTTACGTGTGACAAACACTTCAGAAGACCAATTTGAAAGCGTTTAATAATTAATGTTTTTAATTTGTACTCATAATCTCAAGGCTTTTTATATGTTATTCTAAAATATACAACAATGAGGTGTTTGGTACCTAATACGTATATATAGTCCCTACCATTAATCCATTATCATTATTAATCCATGATTCAAGGAAAATAAGATGTGTTAAATTTCGAAATAATATGAAATGGATCGGATTTGGACAATCTGAACAAAGAGGAGGAGAGTTAAGTCTACAAACAAGGCTTAGAAAGTTCCATACTAAAACCAATTGGCAATAATAGAAGTTACTCTTCTAGCTTATAAAGTGGAACCACCTCTTCTGTTTCTCCAAAATGTTACTATGCTTAAGTAAACTTTGAACTATCATTGGGCGCGTAATATAGTAGTAAATTTTTCTTCTGCTTAAATAAACTTAAAACTTTTATATTATTATGTAATAGAAAATTTATTATAAACTCCAACTCGTACAAGTTTAGTCAAGCTTGTATTTATTATAATCTAGTAATGGCTCTATTAATCAGTATACGATTCTAATATATACACTTGGTTCAATGGTTTATTAGAGTCAGAGTCTCTTACTTTCGTGATAAGCTTAGCTTTAGTTTTCTTAATGATGATGGTGCTAAAAATTTAAGAAACCCACAAATTTTATCTAATCCGTGAAGTTTAGCTGCCCTTTAATTTACGTCAATTTTTTTTTGTGTTTCTATCCGGTTCACCCTTAGCTTTTGGCTAATTAATTCGAATTTGAGGCTCAATTCTAAATGGTTAGATTTGAACCCTGTCTCAATTGATGTGGGAATTGAACTTGTGTTTCTCTCTACTAGTGCGGCCCTAATCACCAATACACCAACAACCAATTAGTTTAAATTTACGTTATATCTCAAAAGGTCTTTAATAATAGTATAATACCACCATGCCGTGGAGTATGGAACTTAGAAAATTAATGATATAAACATTATTGTCAACAAATTCTTAAAATATACTCGATGACATGCCAAAAATTGTGAAATTAAATTTGAAACTAACAAAATAGTGTGGGTGATCATGCTGCACTAGAGTGAACAAGTGTTACTTTAACTAGAAAATAATATCAAAATCTTTGTAAAAAGATCAACGTTGACTACTTTTGCAAAACGATATAAAAGTAATATGATTATTCTATGCTTAAAAGGCAAACCGCGTACTAATAATTACTGATTAGGGGGGATAAATTAAGAGCGAATTTAAATGAAGAAACAAACAACGAACTTTATCTGATCACGATATTAGATCAGGTGTTAGTTGGAACAAGATTAGGTTAGTCGTTGCACTAATTACTTAATTAGTACGTATAACATGCAGTTACCTTTCTAGGCCGACTTATATAGATATATCACATTATCACTTTTCGTTGGCTTGTGGTCATTCAATTAGTTCCCATTAAATTATCACTCGTTGAATCCAGAAAATCATATTATTATGTTACTCAAATTAAATATAAAATTATTATAACGAGTCATGGGGTGCATTAAAGAGGCTTTATTGATCTAATGTAATTGTTAAACAACCCACATAAAAAGTATTCTAGAAGGGCGGATTCAGAATTTATTAATAGACCGGGCCAAAGTTATAAGGAATTTTAATTAATAAAGCCATACGAAAATATAAGTATAATAAATCCACACGAAAAAAAAAGTGCAAATAAGGGTAATTGTACCCTTGACCTTCCCACATCTATACATCAAGGGAGTGTTCGGCAAATTATAGCTGTGAAGGTAGTTGTAGCTGTGGAGGTAGTTGTTAGCTGTGTAGGTGGCTGTTAGCTGTCAACAAGCTGTTAGCTGTGAAAATAAATAATTTAGATATAAGTGTTCGATAAAGTAGCGGTTGTGACAAATTAGAGAGAAATAGAATAGAATGGCTTGATTATTATCCATCAATAGGTTGAGTATTTATACAAAACCTAAGCTCATAAGATAGGAAACAATCTTCTTAAAAGATATACGTCTAACCATAAACCCTAAATATATATTCTCAAAATAATATCTTAACATAAATATCCTAATTAAATATATTATTCTCTTAAATGATATCTACGTAAAATATATCACACATATATTTCCCGATATCTCTAACACCCTCCCGCAATCGTAACGGCAGTAACACGAACGTTGCGATTGGAAATTCTTCACTTTGTTGAAACCGAGATGCACACTCTTGTGATGTCGCCTTCAATTTTTTTTCTTCTTTTTCAATGATGAGAACGTTCATCTTTTCGAACTCATCAGTCATCAATCAATCAAGCAGGAACGTCATTCTTTTCGAACCTGCAAATATAATAATTTTGGTTTTTACAGAGCAAAACCGAGCTCCAATCAAATATTGATTTTTCAGAGTAAACCACACTCAAATCTTTTATTGGTCTTTCAGAGTAAACCACACTCAAATCTTTTATTGGTCTTTCAGAGTAAACCACACTCAAATCTCTTGGTCTTTCAGAGTAAACCACACTCAAATTTTTTATTAGTTTTTCAGAGTAAAACCAAACTCAAATTCAAAAGAGCAAAATCATGCTCAAATCAACTCACAAACCTTGTCTCACGGCACAAGGAGAACCAAATATATCTTGTCTCACGACACAAGAGAGCCGTTTTTTAATTTCTTCATCTCCAAAGATGTGTTATAGTGGAGGAAGTCCACTCACATACTCACAAAAAAAAAATTCTCCCAAAAAAAAATCACATACACATATATGATACGTGTACCAACCCAAAAAAATAAAAATTTAAAAAATATTAATATTGCATAGCGGAAGCAAAATTTTGAATCCCACCGATGGGTTTAACTTTCTAACCCACCGGCAGGGGGGGGGGAATTTTTGTGAGCGGTCCCAAGATTTAACCTGCTCTTGATACCATGACAAATTAGAGAGAAATAGAATAGAATGGCTTGATTATTATTCATCAATAGGTTGAGTATTTATACAAAACCTAAGATCATAAGATAGGAAACAATCTTCTTAAAAGATATACGTCTAACCATAAACCCTAAAAATATATTCTCAAAATAATATCTTAACATAAATATCCTAATTAAATATATTATTCTCTTAAATGATATTTACGGAAAATATATCACACATATATTTTCCGATATCTCTAACATGGTATCATATAAAAATCAATATTTTATTTTTACATATAAAAATCAATATTTTATTTTTAAAACTATAGATTAAATTTCCAACAGCTACCTCAAATTTCAAAAGCTAATCTTTCTAGCTTTTTATAAAAGCTACCTTCACCACTAAAAGCTACCCTAACCACTATTTTGCCAAACACTCACATTTTTTGTTAAGTAGTGATTTGACCAAGTCAAATCACTAAAAGCTACCTAAAAGCTACTCAAAAGCTAGCGCCGAACATGCCCCAAGTAACTAACCAATTAAACCAACTACAAAACTTATAGTACATATA